TAACGTAAACGTAATTATTTATAAGCATATCTAATACATATGTGGTATTGGGTGTCACGGTGTCCGTTATTGTGATTGGGGTTCTTGAATTAGGCATCACTTGACGCATGGTGCGCGATATATATATATATTAACTCCACGTGCTTACACCACCCATGTTACTTCTTTCTAATGTCTTTCAGTTGATTACATAAATCTATCATAATATTATATGAACATACTAATCCTAATGCTTTTATATATATATATATATTTACCATCAAGATTTTAACAAATGGGTAACTCTAGGTGAATATTTTGTTGGTTGCCCATATTGTCTCTTCGGGGAATCAAATGTCAGTTATAATCTTCAAACCTGGTGGTACACGTTAAAATGCTTTGTAACAGGGCTCAGAGTCGTAAAAAGGTAAATCCATTCTTCCCACGTCGCATTAGCTGACTGGGAATTTAACTATTTCCCTCTAGGGGCACTGACCACTTGTACTTCATCCTTTGGGATTTCACGATTACTTGCCTACGCGAGTTGTCATCAATTTCATTCCGAATTAAATCTGGGAAGTAATGAATTGATTTTGTCTTTATTGAAGAGATTTCCTATAGGAAAAGACATGTAACTATATGTACACTAAACTCTATTATTTGTTTGGAGTCAGGCAATTCCCTCTCCCAGTTGGTGCATCAATGTGCTACGTAGATCGATGTACAATCTGCGCTTGAGATACTAAAGTCAGCATAATCTTGATTGATTTTATCTGACACTACTGCTCTGAGATTACTGAATATGCCCCATCCCTTACTTGTGAGCATATTACATATTTTGACAATTTTGAAATTCTTAATCGCAATTCAGATAATAAGATTGATTCACACAGCGTGCCACATGGTTGAATCAATGAGTTACAAAGAATATTGCGGCGAAATGGAACACTTTCATGTTCCGCTCAATTGCGCAGTTATAAGTGCCACCACTGTCGACTTCCGGCAACACATATCATAGGACACTCTGAATTGCACTACTGTACTCTTAGGCTAATAACATTATACATTTCAAACTACACAGTTATCATAGATGACGTCATATCACACATATCATATGATTTCAGGACGGACCAGAAAGTGAAATAGTGATATTACTTTTAGGACAATCATTTATATCACAATTCCATATTCATTTTATCATAAGAACAACATATAATCACCACCACAAAAATCAAACTTCAATTCAGAAGGAATTATTGATAGTAACTGACGTGGACAACTTTAGGGTGTGGGCGGATTTCATTTACTGTCAGTGAACTCACTTAACTGTGAAAGCACACGTAGTACGTCACTGACAGGATTGCATACTATACAACCTAGTGTCATATATTCAGGTAAAGCATACTCCTTTTGTTTGAGATCATATGTAATCAGGTCAGTTTCCACATGGAAATTTGTTAGTGAAGCAGCGTGTTCGATTCTGTGACTCAATGAATCATACACAAAAGAAGAGTTCTAAAAGTTTGTCAATAACTGTGTGCGTGTATAGAATTCGAATACACGTTTTAAAAATAATTGTTATGAACGTTTCAGAAAGTGAATGTCACTGTCTCTCCTGACATTTGTTCTGTGTACATTTCATGTGCGGATGCTAACAAATAGTGTATTCCCCTAAAGTCACATCCTTTAGTGAATAAATCTTGGTCAGTGGAATTTGCCTCCATCGAGTCAGTGGCACACTTACTAGGGCTTACAGTTTGTTTGATGTTCAGCCAAAAGTAGACATTTCAGGCAGACAATACTTTGAAAGAATGCTTCAGATAGATTTTATTGTAAATCATATGGATAGGTGGGGCACGTCGTGTGTCTCTTCCGAAATACTCCTTGGCCATGTGCTTTGATCTCTATGTGCTTTCTCGCCAATGACTATTTTTATGGTAAATTGCTTGTAATTGTATAGATGGTATGGAGCAATTATTTATATTTACTGTCATTCAACCAATTTAAACAAACGTTCCTTGATTGTTGATGATCTAGGCATGGTGACATGTGATGTCAGTCTGCTTACAGATTCAAATGCAAATGCCCGATTGAGCCATGGCAAATAAGTGAGCCAGGAATAGATAGGAGAGATTGTAAAGGTTGTTTCTTGGGAGCAATAGTAATTTAAATGCACATTGCAATCGGTCGGCTGGTCAGACATGACAATGCAACTTGGGAAATGTAGTGTGCATCCTATTCACAGGAGAACATCTACTGTGATTTGCTAGACAATTAATTTATGCATTGTCCGTGGGGCAGTAGCTGGTACTTCATGTGGCGAGTTACATCAATATTACCAACGTCACTGGGAATGAATACAAGTAAAATACTTCATTCGCTATTGTGAAAATATCACTGACCAGCCCAGAACATCAAAACCATACGATTTTGCTTTGGTAATTCTAAAGCATGTATCGATAAACATCCATTGAGTATAGAGTTAACAACATGCATGCAATAAATTCACATTTCACTGAAATATATCCGCTAAGCTTAGTATTTGGACGAATAAAACACGATATTAGAGGTAGGATGGTGTATCTACTCGTCTTACTCTGAGAAGCAGATGTCAGTATTCTGTAAATGACCTCATTATGCAGCTGATGACGAGTATTGGACCCCCACATTGTTCCATATACGGAAATAGATCACACTTTCACCTACCTAGATGAAAGCCTCATCCGTTACTCTTTAATTGCGTCAAGCCTACCTCTATACGCATTTCGCATTTCCATTATCAACACGATTAGACCATGATAAGGTTGTATATATCGAAATAATCTGAACTCACTTCACTTCCACTTATACTGGCAGCTGAATGATGAAAAGTCGGCATTAACAATCATTTGAAATGCACTGTGACTCGATTATAAAGAGCATATAATCAGGTCTATGATGATATGCATCCTTCCGCTCAGCGGGATTGTCAGTGATTGAACTGGTTCGTTTAGCCCGTGTGTATCGTATGCCATGCTCTAACAACAGACTCGACGTGCGCATTCAACAAATGAATGCAATTTGTTGAACGTATCACAAACGAATTAAAAGAATTACACGTGGTGACATTCTCCACTTCGTAATAGCCCGGATGTATGGATATAATACGATACAAAATCACGTAAATCAGCTGCATAACGGGACATGAATTGATTACGCAACTTAATTGTATAACACGGGCGACAAATTAACACGTATGATTTGGCAATAATCTCGACTAACCATATCGTAAGAGAAGCATATTTAGTCAATAGCATATGCTTGCATATAATTAAATTATTAACCCAATAAAAAAACAAGCGATCTGACAGTCGCAATAGCTTGTGGTAGCCAAGTCAAGTAAATCATATCCGTAAACCAAAAGATAAAACACATTTACCCCAAAACAAGTAAATTGGTTTTGGCTGTTAAGAATATTCATCAAATAAACTGTTCACAAACATTATGTGCACCTCAAATATCAAAAGCATTATGCTGGTGGTGTTTAAGACGTCAAAATATCATTTGATTAGTTGTCCACCCAGGGTACTAACACGTCAAGTATCAACGCAATTGGACATTTAGTTGTCAAGAAAAGGTCGAAAATATAATTTTTACAAGACATAACAAATGCTAGAAATATTGGTTCATCAAAGGACCAAAGCAAGTTTTACCATAAATGACAAAAATATTCGCTAAAAACTTAATGATAGCCAAGGTACCCACGTATCAGATGTCATGAATTGGGCTGTCTTTTTGACCAAAAATTAATTTCCACAAAATCACATCTGATAGAAGTCCGCTCAACTAACCTTTAAGCAAATGTAAATGGTTTATGGACGACAGACACACATCTATAAGAATAACTTCGCTTTCTTATCTACTATGGCAGCGAAACTAATGAAACACATTGGAAAATGATACAGTAAAATATAAAACCACCGGCGATATTCTCGAATTACAGCAGAATAAAGTATCATATTAATAAAATAGAACTGCGTTATGCTCTAGAAGGTATATTCACATCAGAGGCTGTTGTTTTGTCATTCCATATGGTGGCATCTACGTGCAAATTCCACGTTTGCGCACGGGGACGTTTGTAAAAAAAAACGTAAATTCATTCAGACTTCTTTATTCAGTTTCATACATACACTTTCATTTATATAAATATAAGTTATATTATTCATTTATTATATTGATCATGTCTGGTTAAGATAATACTAAGTTAAAATCGAGCTTTACAAACCAACCAACCAACCAACCAACTGAATATACATCTTTCCATGGGATGCGATTACCATCACAGCAGAGGTTGATGATTGATATACCTCGAAGTGCTTCAAATCGAAAGATACTACAATTCTCGTACTGCAGCATAGACTACATGGCTAAACGTTTCTATTTCTTACGGCTATACAGCGTACATTGACAATGATTCATTCATTCATTGAATTGATATTCATTTTGAGAAACCATGAACTCCCATTTGTGTTTTAACTCTCGCTACTCTCGTTTGTCATCAATAGTACAAAACAGTGAATAAATGTCACTTAGATATTCACAGGGAGAACAAGAGAATGTACTTCAATCATGGATCTGGATTCAGCGAAACCATCATCGCAAATCTGACCGTACTGTTGTATGTAGAGACCATAATCTTATGAATTTGAACAACAACGTTAAACTAGGCAATATGTATAGTATGTTCAATACATGCAGTGTGTACAGAGAAAGCTGAGGGGAAAAACATCCGGTTGTTAAATAATCAAACCCTAATTTAACTCAATGTCAGAGTACATTGGGCTGGCAGTATAAGAGTTAAACAAAATACAACTCAACCCAAGGATACACTATAAATAACACATAATCTTTGTATCTACTAGATAATTTATAATAATACTACGAACAAAACAACCCACGAATACAAGAGATGGATGGAGATCACGGTAATCCCCGTTGATAATTCTTTTCCTCACGCACACGTACTCTCTTATTATTTTCAGGAATTTTCAACTAATGATGAACAAAACAATACTTGTAGCAGTCTTTGTAATGGTTGTGGTAGCGGTTAAACAAAGCTATGGGGCACCAATGTAAGTATACCTCCTTCCTGATAATTATACTGATAATTAGTCGGTGTAGTGAAGTTATACATGTTTTATTTTGCTAGTCTTGTTGAACTCTCTCAGATGCATTAATCTAACTGTACTTTTACACCGAATCATTATACAGGTGAACACGACATGTGCTTGTTAAATATTACGATAGCGATTGTCATTTGAAGATACATTAGTTATTTTACAACATTTACACTAAACATTACGTCTCTTATGGTGAGCTTGCTATCTAAAACGCAGCTTCTCTGACAACACACCCTCGTATTTCCACGCATGGTATTTAGAAGTCTGTGCTTTATATTCATATATTTTCATGAAGGCAAATTCAGATGAACTCTGCTGACTCAAAAGTCAATTTAACCAAATAACGTTTGAGACATCAATCTATACTATGGTATTTTACAGTGTGTAATTAGCTGCTGGAGTGTATACGAAACGCATCTATGTATATGTATTTATGAATATGTATATTATATATATTTTTATACAAGTTTTCTATTCGAATGGAGTGCGAACATTGCCTTATACCTTATACGTTAGTATGAATGAACTCGGAATGCATCCCAACATAATGGGGTACATGTTATTATGTATTATAATCACTTGTGTTGCAGAATCAAGTTACTGTAAATGGGAAGCCGGAAATGTATTTGGTTTTTTTCAACAGCGAGGTGGCAGAGCTGTAGAAATTGACACATACTATCAAATTACATTGCAGAGGTTGTTACAATGTATAAGGAGCGTTACATCACGAGTTTGTAATAAACATATGTGACGTCATACATAATCTTACATCCACACAATGTTCCTGTGAATGAATTCAATCTTTTGTACAGTAATATGGGCGCTCAACTGTATGATTTCCCAAGAGTGAAATGGTAGTGGGAAAGTGCATGGATGGTCTCACTTGCCCGGGAGCGTAGTGAGGTCGCAGTGTGTGACCAGGTCACACCACATTTACAGTATGTTCTTTCTACAGAGTAAGGCGCAACCTAGCAGATACCTCAATGGCATCCATTCTCCACACTCAAGTTGATGACAAAGCGTAACTAAATTGGTTGCAAAATGTACTGAAAGAAAATAAATTATTAAAGTTCACTCGGCACGTGCAAGTAGTCGCAGTGTCAATGCTTGAGGAACGTGAAAATAAGTCTAATGTTGAGATCCTGGAAAGGTTGGATTAATCAGGGAGTTATGGGGAATATCCCACAGCCCATAGAACAGCCTGTACTATATTCTGACGATGTATGCTAATAATACCAAATCTAAACACTGTGGAGCCGAATGATGTTTCATCTTAACCTTTTCATCCCAAATTGTTCTGCTCCTTTTTTTCTTATATTCTTCAATATTTCTGGAAATGAACCCTAATTTGAAGCCAACAGACACAATTTGATTTGATTTTCAGTTTCTAATCAAACAATTTTAATATGTTTGTCCCAGGCTATAAATGGGACTTTTTTGTTAATTTGTGATGAAAAGATGGAACTGGTGGTGAACAGGTTAATACAGGGTGGTAATGACTAAAGGTCAAAGGCTATATGACATATTGATATATTTTGGCAGAAATAATTCACAGCTTTGTTTCACAGAAGTAAGCGCAATACAGCCGATGCTGCTATGGGAACATACCTTGAACAACAACGTGTTCATAATAGCAATGCAGCTTTCTTGAGATGGTTTAGTAAGCTATTACTAGAAAGTACAACTCATACCCTACGTGACCAGGGCCCAGTGTAAGTGAATAAGCAAACGATTGTATGCCGATTTATTCAATATACCTTTTGCGATTGAGTGGATACAGCTAGGACTGTAGAGGGGTCAAGGCCTGGATAAGGTTCAATTATTTCATTTTACTTTGTGAATATCAATATTCATGAATGGCTAAACAATTTGAACCAATCACCTAAGCTTTCAACGTATAATAAATTAAACTTTACATTTGGGCAGAAGAAGTATCTTACAGTTATTTGACAATGTGTCAATGGCTGCATGGTTAAGACAATTTAGAATATCGGCACACAATTTGAAAAATTAAAACTGATAATCGAAGTAATGGCATGACTTTCATGTCGGTAACCAAGCTGAAGATGAATTTCATTTCTGTCTGGTATGTCTACCATATCAATATACCTTCGTTTTTTGTTTACTTAAACTAACCACAAGAGATAAATTACTATACTTTATGAGCTCAAACAGTGCATCCCTAATTGTACGAATTTCGAAATGCGTGTTTTATTCAATAAAGAAATTGCAGTAATTAGTCTATAATTTGTGGTGTGACCTCACTGTACATATTTCGAACAAGTCAATATACTATCTGTTTGTACTTAATTTTTAAACAAAAGCAGGTGGCCTCTGTACCTTGAATAACTATATTGTGAAATTTAAAAAAAGGCATTTACGTCTTGTGATGCCTACCATAGACATCACCATTGACTTAGAAAAACAGTTTGTCTTCGTTATTTGACTAGGCCATGTTTTTGCTTGGTTCACATTGGTATCAGTTACGTATCAGATGTCGTAAAGAAAGTATATACCGTGATCCTGTCTCAGTATTAATGCGCAAGCTCTTCGTGACGTGTATGTAATAAAGAAGATAATTCTTATATTGACTAACTGATATACAGATAATATTCAATCGACAGGAGGAGGAAGAAAAATGCACACCCTGTTGTGCCATTTCGCGGCTCCAGTAAGACCCAAACATATGACAACATGATAAATACAATAGTCAGCTACAACGTGGATACGGTTACCGAAGAGTAAGTTACGAATGGGAAATGGACGTCAAGTCACACGTTCTTGGAGATTACTGTATAGTTAGTAGTGGTCTTGGTGTCTGGTTGTCTCATTTACATCATCATCTCCACTATTCCTTCAAACTCATTATATATATTCTATTTTGTGTGCCTCATATGCACAGTGTATCCATTACTAACAAGGTCGTAACTCTTGAATGTACAAGACAGTTTGTATAAAGCATAGTTACATGTTTTACTAACCAGCATAATACCATCTTTTGCACATGCGCATTACGACTGCACTGTATTCATCGCCGGTGAGTTGGGGGTTTCAACAGTACTAACACATTGTAAGAAAGTTGTATCTTTTTTCTTCTTTTAACAAAACAATGTTAAATTTCAATCCTTTTTTCGCAGGATGATCTTTTTTACTTTTTTTACCTTTCGTAGATTATATAATATTTTTGTCAGAATGTCTGCAGTAATATTCATTTTTTTCATTCATTCCAGTACTATTTTTTAACGTCACAATTGTTTTTTTGTTATTTTTTATATTATGTCTTTTTTAAATATTCAATATAGAAGAAAGAGAAATCTTTCGGATAGCCAATTGGCTACCCTTTTGAACAATTTGGCGTCAGGCATGGGACACGATGCCATGCGACAACAACTACTAGAATTCATACAACAACACAATTTAAGTGTTTCTATAACGCCCCATACTAAGTAAGTAGACACAAATACACCTATTTAGTATATTTTTTGTTGTCATTATTTTGAATTTTTTGTTTTGTTTTATGTTATTTCTATGTCATCCCCATAACACTACTACCAACCTCAAACCCTTCCCATTGCATTGTTTTTACCATACTCCTATTCTTGCTACTCCTCCCTACTACTGATGTCTAAACCATGCGTCCACAGATTTAAAAGAAATGTCGCGGATTCTATTCTCTCTGAAAAACTATTACAACTGGCAAAATCTAAACGGCGAGATGCTTTTCACCAGTTTTTACTCGACATACAGAAAAAATATGGTGATTTCCAGATAATCCCTTTGTAAGTAAAACAATACGGTTAGCCTTTTTTTTATTTGCACGGATATTATTTTTTTGCTCAGTCAAGTATTGATTTTGTGCAAAAATTCACAATTTCCTAATAATTAAAGGAGTTCGAGCCGAATTCAAATGTTGAACTACTGAGCATGTTACTAAGCATATGGGCAATGAATTATAGCAGAGATATTTAAATTGTAAACCACTGGACATATTAAGGAACATATGTTCGTCACAGTAAAGAATAAAAATAAAATATCACACTGGAAACTTACTAAATTAATTTAATTATGAAATTATGATTTCTATTATTAATAATAATATATTCGACTTGTTCGACTTGAAAAAATAGTTTTAACATAGGAACGAATGCAAAATAACTATAACATGAACATGACATTTCGGAACAAGTCTAGTGACCTAAATTTTTTTTCCGTTTTCTGTATCCTAATGGCACGAATCCGCAATGTTGGAAGAATAAACATATTCTTCAATTCGGTCCGAACCTCCTTACACGTTTTCAAATTACTTTTCACGACTACCTTGCATAGTCATTATGCATGCTTTTCTCAATTCTATTTGAAACCGATACCGCATGTTCGGATTAGGTGTGCAACAATAATTCCTCATCTGCTTCCCAGAAATTCCCCACAGGCCCAACATTCGGCGGAATTGATAAACCTCACTGACCGAGACGAGGACAATGCAGTAGCGACGACGTATCGCTTAACGTTAAATCGCGCGTAAGTAGCATAGCCTGTATGTTGAAGAATGGATTCTAATTGGCAGTTTATTACTTTAATTGACCCCTTTAAAAATCAGTTTGCTTGACATTTTTAACAATCCGTGTAGATTTAGTTAGTACACATATCCTCTAAACATGCGATTGATTTAAACAAGATTGAAATCAAAATGTCAATAAACAGCAAATAGAATCCTGCATTACCATGGTGATTTTTATTTATTCTTATTGTGGCTTTCTCTATTTCCGTTTTTTTTCTGGTGTTTTTTCTTTCGTGTTTTTTTCTTTAAAAATGCCTAAATGCTTCTCTTCCTTTTTCTTGATTTGTATACTGTATTATATTTTTATATTCATATGATATTATATTATATTTATATTTGTGTATATTGGGATACTCGTAGATGTTTCACCTACAACAGCATGTATGGACGGAGTTTAAAGATTGGTGCACGTATACACTTCCTGCACAGCAGCCCCCGTGGATACATCGCAAGACTGAATCAGAAAACCTATCTACCCAAGGTTATCGATGCACACACACACACACGCACCTGGTCGCACGTGGTCACAACTGCAATGGCACTACGTCGCACTGCATTGTATTCACATCCCGGGTTCACTTGCGTCGTGTTCTAATCACTCGTACCAGTACTAACTCACGTTCGTCTCACAGGCAATGTATCTTTCTTCTCAGTATCACAACATGGCGTGTGCATCTCAACTAATCACCCCTACCCTCGGTGCTACTCACTCAACCCTATTCACCTTTCACGAACTGGATGTTTTAACAATGTTTCGCTCACTTCCATGTTAACTGCTATTACGACACATATTGCAAACACATAAGCACCTTGTTTCCAGTTACTTACGTACACGTTGTATTGCAGTGAGTGTATATGTTGTGTAACCGTTGAAATATTCAAAATATTACCGTTCCAACAATTTCCAGACCAAGAAAAGGAGTTAAATTACAAACAAAGTGGAATGGCATTCCGGGCTGTATACGTACCGAAACATTGTTAGTTTTAGTGCAAAGCAATCGCTTTTCTTATAAACGGAAATTGTTGATTTGGACGTAGGTCGTAGAATTATATATATATATATTGCTCCATTTTCACTCTTCCATTTATCATTACAATGTCGAGCCTCATGTCTCGGAATAAGTGGTCTGTCATTGATATATTATTAAGCATTGATGCATCATCACACGTGGTGAACAATCCGTTGAATGTCATGTGTAATGTCATGTCTTGGCAGACTTCTACAAACCGGAAGAGATATTTATATTCTCGGGAGACGCACATAAGAAAATAATGTGTAGACATCTTGTATCTATATTTGGATCAGCAAGGAATGTTACCTATATGAAATTGTTTACGTCGTACGAGATCTATTTGATCCAAAGCACTGTCATGAGTTGCAGTTTTTAAAATATAGTTTTGTTGCCTTTCTTTGCATAACAACAAAGCAAAGTATGCACATCATTTACATGATTTGATATTCAGGCAGAGCAATGCGATTTGAGTCCCGAATCTGCGTTTTAATTTGAAAACTAACGTGATAAATTGAAGTGACTAGAAAAACAAATTATCAGAGTGTCCAATTCCAGGCCCCTTTAAGATTTGATAAAATGATTCTAACATCGCCTGTATAAAATATATATCCATGGTTGATGTTTCTTGAAAACTCAAAAGACTCGTGGTTAAAACAGTGTTCTTGTCTGTATTTACCGCCTACTTTAAATTGAAACACCCGATTACATCTTGTCACAGGGGGAAGAGAACAATGACAGATGCACTGAACTCTCAATTAATGTCACAGAGTATGTCTAAGTTACAAGGACAAGCACTAATTGAAATGTTACAAAAGCTTCAAAGAAAGTACGGCGACTTCACCATCAGGACACCAGGGTGAGTATGACGGCGTCAATCGGGTTGCATCATAGTCTACAGCATATCAATGGTTTGGCGGCATTTTCTTGAATTCAACTGTTTCATGTCTTGGTGATAAAAATGTGAATTAGAAATTTAATTTAGAAGTGACGTTTGAAAGCTCATGGTCCTTTGGATAAAGTGTCTCTAAGTTGTTTTTAACATTTTAATAAAAGATGTTCAATAGATAGTATTCAATGCAAAAGTGTTACAACTTTAATACTACCTTCGAAACATGTTTTCCTGCTCAGTGCAAAATGTTTTGATTGATTGTTATTTCAAAACTCACAGAAGACAATTTTAAATATATAGCACTTCTGCAGGTCATATTACTCTCGTGTAAGTTGTCAACAAAATATACACAAAACACGTAGGAGGTGTGACAGATTACTATGGAGATGGGACTTTTTTAAACATCTTTTTAAATGTTCTTGTCCTATTATAATACTTTCTCAGTCTAATATAGTGTATCATAGCATAACGTAGTGGTGTACTGTCTGGCCTATCAAATTATTTTGCTATTTTAAATGGCAAAACATGAATAAAAATGAAGTTAAACTTACTATAATACATTATAAAATGATGGTATTAAATTATTTTTCAAATGACATGTAAAATTTATGCATTTATTTCAACTGAAAAGCTAACTCATTAAATTAAAAATAAAAATGTTTTAAAAAATTGCTGGTTATCTCAACTTTTCTAATTTTAAAGTTCCTCGCGTCTACATTTCATGGTTCAGTGTGCCCAACTCTGTGACCAAGTGTTGGCCTAAACGTCAGGTTGGTTGATAATCTCCATACAATGACACCAGGAACATTACATAGCAGGTTTAGACAGTTGGCAAACATCCCGGCTGCAACACTGATACTAACTTGAAAACAAAGCGCACTTTTCTAAACCAAAGACACTCTTTCGAAGTTAGACAAGTACCAACACAGGAAACGATCCCAAAACTCTGACTACTTTGAAAACGCAAGTAGAAAGAATGACTAATTTGACACATCATTGATCAAACCTTTGACGTTAATATAAACAAATCGATTAATTTGATGAAAAAACGTTCATAGTAAATAATCTTGAATTTTTCAAATCAAATTATTTGTTTGTTGATTCTTCTTCTTCAAGTTATGTATAAGCGTTTGATGAAAGACATTTAGGCAGTGTTTACAAATGTGTAAACACTATGTTTACACATTTGGAACCACGCACGTCAGTTTGGACCAGTATTATTTGGATTCAAAACTATTACAAAATCAGTGAAAATGCAGTTCATTCCCCTCTAACTCTCCAAAGGCAAACCCCGTTTAGTAGGTGTTTTTTTTCGTGTTATTTCAAAGAATAAAATAAAAAAATTCTCTCGTCGTGAATATATTTTCGGCACAATGGGATGTCTCATATCAGTGATCGCCGTTCTCCAATTAAGATGATTTCCGAAGGCATGTGCATTATATCTACGAATCTGACAGTAGAACGACAGATGTTATTATATGAGAATCACAAGTGATCTCGTCATTCTAATGCTAACGCTACTGGCTATGTGTTGTCTCATTTGTTCTCTGTAGAAAACGTGTCACTGCAGATGCATTTATGAACGAGGCAATGCGGAACCAATATTTGAGGGATCAGGGAGCGGCTTTCAGAGAAGCACTCTTGGCTCTACAGGCTCGACAGGGCGACTTCAAAGTTGGCAAAAAAAGTGAAAACGACGTGTAAGTTTTCTGGTATCCGTGTTTTATTTTATAAAAGCTATAGAAATGTTTCAAAATAATCAATCAACGGAATGAGTGGAAATAACATGATACCCATGCATACATGGACCTCGAGGTATACAAATAAGAACTAGTGTCAAGTGTTTCGAAGAGAGGGAGAGTACATTCTGCTCCACGTGACACCCACCATATATCACTCGTCATAAGCAATTGGTTTTACATCAGACAAGTGGTATTGATAACATTTCAAATCATCTGTCTAATAGTGCTATCATATGTAGTCACAAGCTCATTGAATCTACTAAAACTGTTGGTTGTACAGTTAAGGCAAGTCATTCACAAAAAACAGGTCCGAGCATATGGATGCACGGGTAGAAGAGTGTGAAATATTGCTGGGAAGGTGTGGAAAATTGATGATAGTAAAATGTATTATCAATATCTGACCCAATTATCTTATTTTTAGAAACGTGCCGAATAACCCTGTCTATCTCGAGTAACCATACTCTATTGCGCCCTTTTTTATGCGACAATATATGCTAATTTAACGTGATTCAACAAATTTTTCATTTTTTATTTTGAAGAGATGGTATTACTTACACCTCGTAACAATAAACAGAAACTTAAACGTTACCACATTGGTTTCCCCGGGACAATCAAACAACTGCTATATAATGATCATTTTATATAATCTTATCAGATGATCGTGGATTAACTTCTGGCATGGTGTGTTCTAATGCCGATCCATGATATTATCTTCCAATTCTCGATACTACGGGCGCTGTGTTATATGATTTGTTTTCGTTCGGTAATATAATTTAGACTTTCACCCAAATAGTAATAGTTATTTAGCAAAAACACGAAATTATTGTCCTGGAGATCTATTCGCAGAATGCACAATTGACATTATAATTATTAAATAATTAATTATTAATAACCCAAGGAACATAAAATAACAGAATTGTATGTAAAGTTGATATTATGTATCGAACTCAAGTGTTTAAACTAAGAGGAACCGATTCATGCTCGTCGTCGATGTACTTACAGAGATGATCACGGGGCGATGCATACGCCGCACCCGAAAACATGGGTGATTTATATTGCCTTGTTGTAAGACCACGTTACTGTCTACGTCACAACTACCAAGCCTACACTCTGTGTGACGTACTATTCCCCGCACGCTGCATTCAATGGGTATTTGTTTTTCAACATAAATGTTGAGACTACAAACGTTTGTTTCGTATCTGCTTCGTACGCTGTGATGTTACAATTCGTGGTGGTTAAGTTTTTCTAATGTTTCGAAAGTGTAGAATGCTCTTTGTGTGTTTATTGTTTGCATCTTACGCTGACCCTGACTTGGCCCCAGGTCACTGTTTTTATATAGTTATGTCATCATTGTGTGTTACAAACTATACGTTATTTATGTTGGTAAAATTTGTATTTAGCCAGAAGAGGAACGGCAGCGAAGTATTGCTTTCCACTATGCTGAATAAAATACTCACCGACAGACTCAGAGACGCTGCTAGACAAGCCATCCGATCAAGTCCCGTTGCACAGCGTGCAGGCTGATTTTAGGTAATCAAGGTACGATACGAAAGACAGAACGTCTCTGCTATTTCACGTCACATCCGATAGCGTCACGTGACGTTCATCATCCAATTACGCAATGAAGACCCAGTCATCCACGTGATCCTCTTTAACCAATAGAACAATATATGTTAAACGTGTTGTTTTGTGTTTGCAGTTGTGACGTTGTTTTCACATTGTTTACAGTTTGTCTGTCTCTTGGTCTGTCTGTCAGGGTAGCACCCGCAATCACCCAGTGGGAATGTGGTGTACGTAAACAAATGAAAGTTAGTTTTTTTATACGTCCGTCACATTCTCTGATGGATGTCTTTGGTAATGCTTAATGATGTGCATTTGTAATCCCATTATGTCTAATAGTAAATATTACCGCAGCTTAGAAAGAAAATGCTTACTGTAAGTAATTTGTACGGTTTTCGTCTTGTGCCCAGAATATTCTGCACCCGACCAAATTTACCGTGTGGTTCATAGGCGAAACAATTATTTTCTTTTTCCTTTCCAGTGAGTTTGACTAACGTCACGTGACGTCCCCGCTATGAGAAAAAATGAATGAGGAAGACTCTGGATTAACGCCATACAAGATTATATTTTTGATGTCAGATGATTTTAAAGAGAAAAGAAAATATTAAGAATTTACTGACCATTTTCCACGAATACAGTTATACGTCTTGATGGGCGTATTCCCTGATTAGCCGACTCAGCAAGAGCGAGGAAGTACTCTATCTTCGAGGTCGTGTCACTTTATAGTCTTTGATAAAAAGTATCAATTTCGGCGAGTTCTCACTACGCATTACGATACACGTAATAACACACACTTCAACTAAAAATGCCTAATTCGGTAAATGAATAAAATAAAAAAAGGACACAATTTACATAATAACTTAGTATATTTACTTCGCAATGCATGATGGGATACTCGTTTTGTTTTTGTATTTGTTAGGTAAGTTGGTATTCCACCGATCGCGTGGGAGTCGTTTCGTACTTTGAAACTGTGATTTACCAAACGATACATTGTAAAAGTTATTTATCCAACCACACTGCTGTTTACCAGGCCTAGAATAGGCGCATCGATGTTAGAGATTACACCAATTATATTTTAGCGTTAACCTCAGACCACTAGTAGTCTGAGCGTTAACAGGCAACATTTCAGGTTGAGACTTTTGGCTAACGATAAGTTAGTTTTTTTACTTCCTAATTCATCAAACTGGTGCTTGTACTAAATATCTCTATATATGTCTAGGCTAGGTTAGAACCAATAACAAAAACAAACCTAATATGTGTTTGATTTGATATTAAAACAGAACAAAACATCTGGATACTGTTTGTTTTTTTCTCTAGCACCCACGAAATGAAATGTTTTATCCCTAAATTGCACCGGAAAAGTAGCACGATATATTCATAAATTGAACTTGCAGGTTCACTTATATTCCCTTTTTTTGTTTAGTAATTGTATAACAATAATATACATCATACAGTAGGAACCAAGACTGTCATACCCAGTCCTGCTATGAGACATTTAGTTTGCGCTGAGCTACGCGGTGTACGGTGTGCTGCCGCCATGTTTCTGTCTTGCCAGTGGTATCGGTCAGTCATGTGTTCACAAATTTACCATTGATATACAAATATTTTCTTCCATTTATACCAAAAGTAGTACTTTCCAGAATTTACCATTCTAACCTGATATATATTATTTTTCTGTAAATAGTTAAGTTGTGTAACTATATATGGCAATTCTCGATTCCCATTCCCAATCTAACCACGGTGTTTCCCTCGCTGTAATGACGTGGGAGGACTCCGGTGTAAATGTTGAGCCTATTAGTTCTTTTAACGAAGACTTGAACGTAATAAAATGTATAAGTAAGAGTTGCATCCACTCCTCATTAAGACACTCTGTTTTACTATTGACGTTGTTTTGATGGGTTATTGCATTATCATTTCAAGAATTGTATGATTATTCAGAATATGTAGCGTTTAAGTTAGACATTTGGAACTATATAAAGTTAATGTTGGGTCAGAGATTGAATCAATTAGGTTCAGCAAGAGCTTCTGAAAAGATAATATATCCATTGCTATATTCATTTCTGTTCTGATCTTCTTTGTTCTGTTCTGTTCCGTTCTTTTCTGTTCTGCTCTGTTCTCTGGCTTATCCTGGTATTTTTACCGGGGCGTTATGTCACGTGCGAGAACTAACTTTTCACTTAAACACGATAGAGTGTATTCATTTAGTCTAGAACGTATTCTCAACCTGAAAAGATAACTTCCATTAACGAGAAGTTTGAAAATCTTCTCACTTCTTACGCCCAAAGTCTTTCAGCGTCAAAAGTATAGTTTTGCAGAGAGATATTTATGGTGTTTTGTCAAGTATTAATGATCTTCACAAAATATTATTACGTTATTTTTGGATGAATTGTCGATTATATTTATTTATTTATTTATTTATTTATATTATTAACTGTTTTCGGCATTAAAATTCAGTGTTGAATACATATCAATATGTTGTCCGATTATGAACTTTTGTGCAATAAACCTCTTTTCTGCAGAACATTTTTCACGTTAACTTTTTTTTTATATAAGATTAGTATTCGAAGGAAAAGTTCGATATTATCATGGTTGTATCAAATTCCACTACACTGGCGCCTTCACTTCAAGAACACAGAACAGTTGAAAAAAGCACAGTACACAACTTTTTGCTGGTTCCCGAAGTCCCTTGCGAACGGCGAGTAGGACGCAGGAAATTTCTCTGGGCCGGATTTCCGGTCCTGGATTCACGCGTGTAATACTGCAATAACGTGATGTCTAGCATTTACACCTATTTTTAGAGAAAGTGATAACAAAGAAAAGTGAGTTTTGTTTATATTCGCTGCAATGTATGAGAGCAAATAAGAACCCCTGTTCTATTATAGAACGAGTACTCCATATGATTGACACGCGGAGCTGACGTCAGGTAACCGAGGAAAACGAAACAAAGTTGGACATTTTACATGACGATTGCACATCGTAAAAAGACCTCTATAACTTATTTTGATAGTACTATGGGGTCACCCACTATGCGAGAGTTACAATTCTATAATGTAAAGACCAAATAAACTGGAAGGTACCGGTAATAGGAGAAGGAATTTATATCTTTTGTTTCAAGCCTTATCGCCATTGTCTATTTTTTCGTTTCAACCTGTCAACACTTCCGCTTATTTACTCAACAAAACGGGTTTGACTCACGATATTTTTGGGACTGACAAAAATCCCGAGAAACTAGGCAGCACTATACATGCGCAGAACGGATCACATGAAGTTATAGGTCATTGGCAAGGCTGCTACCGGAAACGAAATATTTCTTAGTCATTTTAGTCATCTTAGTCCCTGTAGTAAAATTGTTTTAGTTTGAAAACGAATGAAAAATATGTTCTGTTGTTTCCCAAAATATTTGAAAATTCGAAGCGGGATTTTTGCATCAGACGCTTTCAGATAAGCCCAACCGCTTCCATATGCGACGTTGAACTGTGATTTGTACACAATAGTTTCACCATTTTGTTTCCGGTCTATTCATGACAAATTGACTTTAAATACGCCGTGTGTGTGAAATGTGAAATTAAGACCTTGATATGACCATGGAAACTTGGTATTGAGTTAGAATATCTAACATGAACACTGCGAATATTTTGCAAGAATCTGTGATTTTGGTATCAACATGAAAGGTAGTAGGGGGGAGAGTGAAGAGCTGTCGAATTATATCCGTAAAAACTGCTTCTGAACTACTAGTAATCACATAATCGCAGTACGGGATTATTTATCAAGTAAATAAACG